TCTGGTAACTTAGGAATAAATATTTGTATTTCTAACCCCCTTTCCTTTTCATATTTACTTCGATGCAATTCACATACTTAAAATTGTCATGTTAGTGAATGGTTCGAACCTAGGGTGCAAAACTTTGTGCGTTAGGAATAGAACACTTGTTAGGCACAATGGGTGAATTTGACTAAGCGATTGGCTATATTCCATTGAAAATTTTACATTAGCCCAATTTACCCCACTCTTGGGCATCTTGAACCTTCTAATGCATGTGTCTTAGAGTGATCATAAGGATCATAACCTAAACCATTTTTATGTGTGTGCTAGTCTTTCATTCCAAAATTTTGATTCAAGTTTTATTCCCATCTTCCCTTGCAAGTATTCAATACACTTCAAAATGGTAGAACAAGTTTCATGAGGATCATTCTTAAATTTATCCTTTTTTACCACAATTAGATCATGAGTGAACCTCACGAGTAGCCATTATCTTCTATTTTGAGATTAACTTCTTTCAACATTTATCACAAAAGTTTGTTCAACAATAGCACAAACATGTTTGTCATTTGTATTTTTAAGCCTTAAGTTGCTCTAGAGTAGAAGCATGCATATCCCATAGAGAAATAAATTCATCATAGACAAATTCACATAATTTGCAAGAATCATCACTAGGAATCAAAATTTTAAGTCTAGCCATTTCAGCGTGTTAAGATTCAACCAAAGCATCTTGTTTTTAATATTTTTTTTATTTCTTTTATCTAGAGTAAAGTGCCAATTTTCCTAATAGCATAAGCTAAATCATCATAAAAGGGTTATAATTAGTTACCTTCACTATGTCGCTGTCGACGAAACTATTGATGGATCTTTTGTTGCTTGCCATCCGACACAACCTAATTAAATGTTTCTTGCCATTGGAGTATCATTCTCACTGACTGTGTCCACACATCACTCAAGTTGATTTGATCGAGAGCTTCCTAAACTTAGTCTAAAAATGGTCATTAAAATGGCAAGTCAGATTAGAACAAGGTCAAGATAATGGGTACAAAAAACCGCATCGAGTACCAATTGATGTTGTTGAAGATCCCCCACAAGTGTTGTTTCCAAGGTTATGTACGTTGATTTGTCAAATGCTCTTTCTGCTAATCAATCTTTTTCCTTGACTAATAGCAGTCTCCCTGAATTTAGTCTTAAAATATTAGTTTCTCCATAAAGATAGTTCCAGTCCTCATCGACCACGTTTCACCTTAAGTGACACCTGCATATGAACAAACATGAAACCACGTATGAGCATAAGTCGATGACTTAACGTCTTAACTCTCAAGTTAATCTGCACAATACCTCACATGAACGTATCATGCAATGTATAAAACCACTACACTATCACGAGTGTATCCAACCATCTTCCTTGCACAAGCATAAAAAATAAACACATGCAGATCACCCAGTGCCACATTTTAATCACTTTGCATTGCCAATGTAATTTATCTCAAGTCTCAATCAAAAGTTCATCACATGATCTCACACAGTTGTAGGTAGGGTGAAAATGGTTAGGATAAATCCCATTATGTTCCGTCCTGATTTCTGCATGTAACCCACTCGAATTCATATTTTGATAGTCGTTCTGACTGTTTTCGACAAATCTAAAAATGGGAGAAAAATAATATAGCTATTTTTGACTGTTTTTGTTGGGATGTCCCGTTTTTACCAGTTTTAGCCCTGTCCATGATAGATTAACGGTTGTCTTGCCACGTGATGGACTTATGGTCTTGCCTCTTATACTCGTGTCATCTTAGAACCTTATGATATGAATTAGCATTATCTATGTGTTGGCAGTGTTGCCATGCCAGGTTGGTTATGTCAGTACGTGAAGTTAGGTTTCTTGGTTCTATGGTGTTAACATTCCTATTTAATCTTTCCGTATCCTGACCGCTATTGACATGTCTCCGTTCGAATTGACTTGTTATGTATTTCCGGTAAATCCCATTTTTGTTCCCATTTCTGGCTTTCCCGATTCTGATTTTGTTTCTCTAATAAAATATTAAAGTGAAAGCAAGAGAGGTAAAAGCCCTAGTTTGGTTTTGGCTAATTGATGAAACCTAAGTACTAACCTATGTCATTAAGTGTGAATGGGAGCTAGGTTGGTACATCCAAGAAATGGAGCTAGATGATGGTGATCAAGGTGGTGGTGATGACCAAAAGAATGATCAAGTGCTCTGACTTGGAAAAGAAGAAAGAGAAAAACAAAAATTCTATGGAGATCAAGGCAAAGGTATTAAATAGGATTTTGTTTTGGCACTCAAGACACCATAGAGGGTGTGAATGTGTTTATGATAGATAGCCGTACTATGAAGAGAAGAGAAATCATAGTTGATGCGGTTGTCAAGTGCCATTAGGTGATCTAATTCGATAGCATGTGCATTGGAACCTAATGAGCTAACACACCCTTGGGAATTGACTTAGAATGTTGCTAACTCATGCACACATGTTGGAATACTTGGAGTTGGCACACATGCACAAGGGATGAAGAAAAGGAGAAGAGAAGGGTTCACTCTAAGTGACCGAATGTGGTCGCAGTGAGACCGGACGCGTCCGGTGCTTGACGCTGGCTTAGGGACACAACCAGACATGCCCTTGCCACTATTCACTTTCAGGCATGCGCAGGCAGAGTCGACCGGATGCTGTGGTCACAACCGGACATAGGCGTCGGACGCGTCTAGTGTGGATTTGGTTGCTTTTCGTCTCTAGAAATAATTCATCGGACTCTATGGCGAGTCCGGTCACAAAGGACCGGACGCATCCGATCGTCACAAAGTAGCACTAGGAGCTCTCTGTGTTGGACCGTACACTGGACTTGGAGAGTCCAGTCATTTGATCGGCGAGTCCGGTCAGTGGCTTGAGCGCTCGCGAGAATAGAGCCATTGGCGGCAACGGTTAGTTTCAAACGCTCGGGACACGTGGTGTTGTTGCAGTGATCGGACTCAGCGACTGGACGCGTTCGGGGTCATCTCAAGCAGCGTGGTCGATCATCACGTGAAAGTTGGGGTGAGTTGGCCAACGGTTATTTGAGCATTGGGGGCTCTATAAATATGGTTTGGCTGGCTCTTACTCACTCTCTTAGCTCTCTAACTCATTGATACACCTTATGAGCATACTCCAACACCTCCCACTCATCTAGCTCTTGAGTTGTTCATCCAAGTTGTGATTGGGAGTGATTTTAGTGCATTTGCTTAGAGTTTGAGCATCGAGTGGCACTAGTGATCGTGTGAGTTGCGCGATTACTTGTTACTCTTGCTGGTTGCCACCACCTAGACGGTTTGGAGCAGTGGAGGAGCATTGGCATGAGTTGGTGATTGTTTGTGACCATCTCCCGGTGATTTGTGCGGGTTATTGACCTTCTCCCGACGAAGAGCCAAAATGTACTCTAGTACATTGCTCGTATCATTGAGTTACCCTCACTTTGGGTAGGTTCTTGCGGTGCCCTAGTGAAGGGCTTGCCGTGGCGTCAATTAGCTCGCGAACCACCAAGTGAACGGTTGACACAATGGGAACTAGCGTGTCGGCAAGCACGTGAACCTCGGAAGAAAAATTGTGTATTAATTGTCTCTTTGGAATTCTCCCGGTATTCACTTATTGGTTGATCATCTCTTGCCACGTGCGGTATACCCCTCTCTACCTCTTGTATTTACATTTCTATAGATATCTTGTGTAGAGGTAGTTGAGTAGCTAGAGTAGCTTAGCCTAGTTGGTAAATTAGTTGTTTAGCTAGTTCACTAGTGTACCTAAGTAGAGACCTAGTCTTGTGTGTGCCTAGTGATCATAGTAACTAGAATTATTAAAATAGGTGGCTTGCAACCCTTGTAGAGCTAGAGCAAAATTGTATTACGCCGGTTATGTTACTAACCATTTGCTCTAGTGAATTTGTAGAGAATTTTTATAGGCTATTCAACCCCTCTAGCCATTTAGGACCTTTCAAGAGGGTTTATCCCCACTGACCCCATTCGTCTCACAAGGGCTGATGGTCTAGTTTGTTGAAGACGTTCATATAGATAGGGTACAGTGTTCATTTATAGGTTGAGCATGGATTTTTTCGATAAGGAAAGCTTTATTAATTTCAAGATCATTATATCAAGATGATATAAAGACCTTGAAACACTTTTGGCCTTTGTATAACAAGATACACGCAACATTACAAAAGATCTTTAAAAAATAGACACACTAATAACACTCCATCCGAATGCTAGACTGCCACGCATGTGCCCGAGTAAAAAAACTCCTTCTCCACTCACGCCAATTATTGAGATGCCACTACAACCAAATCTTGTGAAGTTGGCTTCAGTAGGATAACCCATGTACGAAAAGCCAATATATAATTAAGTAGATAATCTATAGAGGAAAAGAAGTATGTTTCCTTTCAAAAACCAGGTCGTTCCTACGTAACCAAAGCGATCAACGTATAGCTGTTACTCCTAACAAAACTAACGATTTAAATTCTTTATTAAGACTGCAGAGCCAAGACCCAGACATGCTTGATACACTATGCGGTTGAGACAAGCTTGAAGCCGCTGAATAACAGACGAGACAGCTCGAGTAAAACGGCACCGAAAAACAGGTGCCTCATGCGTAGATATACATGATATCCTTTCCAGTGTTTTACAAAAGAACTTCTGCTGATAATCATGCTCCAAGCTCAAGAGAGGGTGCAACATAACAAGCAATCGACACGTGTGGCTCACAACACACCGTCACGGAGCACAACTGAAGTAATATAAAGCAAACAGCTGACCAGTCAAACAGTCAACTCCTTTTGAGAGCACACAAGACAAAAAAAATTCGCTAACAAGCATTATTTGAAAATGAAAAGCACCCTAATGACAAACCAACCCGAAGGGCGCATTGCTATAAATGGCGCAAACCTTCCCACGGTGCTTGTTTGTGTGTGGATGGTAGTAGTAGTAGTGTGCACGCTGTCCACACGCAGAGCTCTGCACCAATCCCCCTGACGTCCAGAGCGTAACTCCATGGCCGCCTCCTCTCCAGTGATCCTACGCCTGCAGCGTCCTCTCTTCACCATCATCCTAGTTGCTCTCTCAGTGTCAGTGCTGCCGGCGGCGCTCGCAGTCGCCACTAGAGGCGAGCAAGAGGGCGACCGGGTGGCGTTCCTCCCCGGGCAGCCGAGGAGCCCTCCGGTGTCGCAGTTCGCCGGGTACGTCACCGTGAACGAGTACAACGGGAGGGCGCTCTTCTACTGGTTCTTTGAGGCTCAGACGTCGCCGGCGCACAAGCCTCTCCTGCTCTGGCTCAATGGAGGTACTCGACTCGACCACTTGCTTGCTTCGTTTATTCATACAAAAAATACTCCTATTTATTTATTCATGGTCATTTCTTATATACTTCACGAATCATGAGTATGCAGTGCTCAAAACACTACCGGAATGCCCAGGCTTGCCGTATGTCCACGGTACACGGCGAAGCCCAAAAAACACTTATAAAGCTTTGCCGAGTGTTACACTCGGCAAACGGCACTCAGCGTACACAGTAATGGCTAAAGTTTATTTGTCAAGTGTTTTTTATCTGGCACTCGGCAAGGCGTATACAGTGACGGCTAAAGTTTATTTGACAAGTGTTTTTTATCGGGCACTCGACAAAGACGTTGCCGAGTGCTGAAACCAACGCTCCGCAAAAAAAAGTAACGTGACGGCGCGGAGACGGTCACGGCGTGTTTGCCGAGTGTCTAACAGCCTCAGCACTCGGTAAACATGATCTTGTTTGCAGAGTGCCCCGGCCTTGACACTCCTCAAATATGCATGTTTTTGCCGAGTGTCTAGGCCCTGACACTTGGCATATATTTTTGTGAAAATAAAAAAAAGCCTGGCACCCGCGTGCCCCGCCCGCCACGGCCGTCGGAGTGCCACGCCTCCTGTGCTGCCCCGCCCGCCACGGCCGCCAGAGTGGTGCGCTGCCCCGCCCGTCGCCCGCGTGCCCTGGTCGACCCGCGACGCCCCGCCCGCCACGGCCGCCGGAGTTCCGCGCCGCCCCGCGCGTCGCCCGCGTGCCCCGGCCGACCCACGCCGCCCCGCCCTCCACGACCGCCGGAATGGATAAGGAGAAAGAGGGGGAGATGGAAGGGATAAGAGGGGAGGGATCTAGGGAAAGGTGTTTGGGCCAATGGGAGAGCTCTATTTTGAAGACACAGATGGCTGATGTGGTTAGGGGTTTTGCCGAGTGTCCCAGGTCTGACACTCGGCAAACCGTAGATTTATCGAGTGCCAGATAAGGGGCACTCGGCAAACCTATTTTTTTCCATTTTCCTTCTTCTACTTCTTTTCCATAACGTGTTTTCCTAAATTTATTCCGATGTACTTTGAAAATACCTTGTCAAATTCACTCAACAATATATATTTGATTTTTCTAAGAATATTATTCCATTATTTTATGCAAGTACAACTCAAATTTAATTTATACCAATTAAAATTCTATAATTGCACTTAATAAATTAAAATTATCAAACGGATCTAAAAATTTACCAAAATTTCACATATAACAATCTATGTTCTCTATTACCTATAAAAAAGTTTTGAAGTCAAACCTCAATTCTACCGTCACTTTGACTCCAAATCTTACCGAATCATTCTCAACGCTACGATTCTTCTTCGGAGATGCTTCGGTTTGTAAGCATCGTACGTGAAAAATTGTGCGAAACTTTCTCAAATTTTTACCACAGCCTCCATGTATGACATTATGAGATATTGACAAATCTCATGATTTTCAGACTTCGTTTGCTTTTTTTAGAATTTAAAAATCATTCGACCACACGTTCGTGGTCGTGTTTCCTGAACAAGATGTTCGAAATTTCTTTTCATTTGCCGGGTAAGGCCTCACACTGGACTCAATAACATGAATATTATTTTTTACTCATTTTTATTATTTGAATCACTTGCGGTTCAAATTTGACTTATATCAAAAAATTCCATGAAATACAATAAATTAATTAAATATAGCAAATATATCCAGAAATATACCAAATCTTAACATGGAGTACCACATGTTGTATGTGGAGAGTAGAAAAAGTTTCAAGGCTAGAAGAGAAGAAAAAGTTTCAAGGCTAGAAAAGAAAAAAAAACTTATTTATTTGCCGAGTAAAAAAAAACACTCGGCAAAATTATTTCTTTGTCGAGTGCAAAAAAAAACACTCGGCAGACTTATTTCTTTTTCCAAGTGCCACTAACGGACACTTGGCAAACTCCTAACGGCCGGCACACTAACTGACGAATGTCCACGTGGCGGTTTGTTGTCGAGTGTCTCTGTTTTGCCGAGTGTTTTTTCTTAGTTTGCTGAGTGTTTTTTTTCAGCACTCGGCAAAGAGTTTGTTTGCCGAGTGACATTATTTTACCGAGTGTATTTTTTGCAGCACTCGGCAAAGAGCTTGTTTGCCGAGTGTCCCGTAGAATGCACTCGGCAAATAATTTTGCACTCGAAAATCTGCTGTTTTCGGTAGTGAAAAGTGATGTTAAGCACTTACTCCCTTTGTTAAAAAAAACAACTATACCAGTTAAAGTGGTTGTTTTTAGTGAATGATAAACATTTATGGCTCCAAAACAATTTATTATCAAAAGTACATTTAGTTTATAAATATTAATATTTTTTATCCATAACTAGTTAAATTTTTGCTAGAATTGTATTCTTTCTTATGCGGAGGGGAGTACCTAGCATTGAGCGATTCTTCTTTGATTAATTACTTCATTCCTGCACGGTACTGGCAGACACGAACAACCATTAACTATTGTCTACTATGTACGGTCGACGATAAAATGAATTTGCCTATATATAATTTATTTTCTTTAATTTGATCTTTTCCTACCTTACACTGACAGCGAACTCAATTTGCATCCTCTATCAGGCCCTGGTTGCTCGTCTGTAGGCTATGGAGCAGCTTCAGAACTGGGGCCTCTCTTGGTCAATGGCAACGGGACCGGCTTGGAGTTCAACAAATTTGCATGGACCAGAGGTTTGCTGCTCTCTTTCCTGCTCTGAATTTCTACTAGTCACAGTTTGGTAACGCTGCCAGGTTCTGGGCTCCCCGCGACACGTGGCATGTCGATCCCTCTCCACTTGTCTAGTTGATGATGTAACCTAGGCCCCCTCTCTCGCAATTTGGCACGCCATGCCTGTGCGCTGTCACGTTTTTTTTTCGTTACTCATTTTTAAAGTTAGGCCTCTCTGCGGGTCTTAATCAAGTTCAGTGGGTGCTGTCCACCCTCCGTTGTTGCCTCAAAACAAAAAACAAACAAGGTTTGATGATTTTACTTTTTGAGAACCCAAACTTCACCTATTTAGGTTCTATATCTTTCCTCTTTCGATGTATCTGATTTTATGATTTTCCTAAGGTTCATGTTTCTCTATTTATTTGATCAGCGGTTTATCTAAATAATTTTGTAAAACTTGGCTGTGTGCGGTTGTAGAGGCCAAAACTGTTCTGTTTTCAGAAAGAAAAAAAAAAAATCTGTCCATGTTACCATGTATCAGTAGATCATAACTCTATCAGTTTTTTTATGCCCGAAGCCCCTCAAGAAATCTAGCGTACATGGAACATGTTGTTGTTCACTTTTGTCCTTTGATTTATGTTTGATGTAAAAATAAGGTGATGCTCAGTATAGTTTCAAAAATTTCCTTTAACTCAATTTTGTTTTCCATGGTCTAAATTTGATCAGAGGCAAATTTGCTGTTCTTTGAGTCTCCTGTTGGAGTTGGCTTCTCGTACTCAAATACCACCTCTGACCAAGACAACATAGACGATGGCTTTGTTGGTACTGAACTTCCTCTCATGATTCTTCTACTAAACTGAAAGTCAAGATTGAATTGGTTCCTAACCGAAAATTTATGAACAATCCAGCCCAGGACTCCTATTCCTTAGTGAATTGGTTCAGAAGGTTTCCTCAGTACAAGAGCCATGACTTCTACATCTCAGGAGAGAGCTATGCAGGTAATTCAGTGGGCAGACAGCTCCCTTTCTCACAACAAACACATTGCAAGGTTGAATAAGCCCACAATGAAAGGGCACTGCCTTTCGCCTTTCTTTAATGATTAGTAAAGTTAGCACGCAGAACAGGAATTTTTTTTTTGAACGAAGAACAGGAATAAATTTTTTTGAACGAAGAACAGGAATAATTCGTTCCTATGTTTTCACTTTACACTATTCTCTAGTCAAAAAAGGTTACACGCGTTCCTATTCTGTATAGTCTTTGGTCCATGACGTCACAAGGATACCACGCCACTACTGCTGCCTTTCGTTAGGTCCTGAAGCAACTCGACGGGAATTGTTCTGTTAAAAAATGCGTCAAGGCTTTGTAGATTGAACAGGTCCTTTTGGTTGTTATTGCAAAATTAAAAAAAAAACATAAACGAAAATGAGACCTAACCTACCTAAGAGAAAGTGGATGATTTGTAAGAAAAAAGTCAGCACTCAAATTCAAGTCCCAACCCAACCAGTTGAGCTAGGTAGGCTCCTTTCTAAAAAAAAAAAGGAACACTGATATTAAGAGTTTGAGTAGAAAAATGTCTGATCCAACAAAATTTAGAGTGGAAAGGTATCAAAATTTAAGTATGGTTGTTATCCTACTGGCCTCAGTCTGACACAACAAACACATGAGGATCTATGCGGCAAGAGACAACCAGTCAATGTTTAAAACACATGTGACACAATCTTTAATTTGTTCGGATTCTGATGAAGTCTAATGCGACAGGTCATTACGTTCCGCAGCTTTCTGAGATGGTGTATGAGCGCAACAAGCATGTTGAAGCAAATCAGCGTATCAATCTGAAAGGATTTATTGTAAGTACCAAAAACCATCTTATTTTCGTTTTTGTATTTCAGAATCCGGAATTAATTTGTAACTCGAGGAGTATATGGATCTACCTTTCATAGGTTGGCAATGCAGAGACTGATGCTTACTATGACTACAAGGGGCTACTTGAGTTTGCGTGGAGCCACTCGGTGATATCAGATCAACTTTACAAGCACGTAAAAAGCGTTTGCACCTTCAGGACTATCTTCCTTACTGGGGAACGCGCTCGTGCAATGAGCCTTGTATACACTCAATATGATAAGATTGATATCTACAACGTATACGCACCCAAGTGCAATACTGATGAGTCAGCACTTTCATCCAGTTTTAAAAATACCGTGGAAAAGACAGCCAAGGTAATTGCACATTTCAGTAACTTCTGCTTGTACTGTAGAAATATTACAATAGAATGAAAATGAAGATAACTGGATATGTTTTTTCCATCAGAAGTTCAAAAGATTGAGGATGTTCTCAGGGTATGATCCATGTTACTCAACCCACATTGAAGATTACTTTAACAGAATTTATGTACAGAAATCACTTCACGCGAATGTCAGTGGATGGATCAAGGATAGAAGATGGAGTATCTGCAGGTGGTATATATGTGCATGAGCTTCCTTGTTATCCATCCCTAGTAGTAATTGGATACCAGACATAACATATTTTCATAACATTGTTGCAGCGACTCAGTTTTTGACAACTATTATGACACCATATTTACTGTTCGTCCTATTTACTCAAAGCTTGTCAAGACTGGAATAAGAGTTTGGGTCTACAGGTTCGGCTCCTGCAGTTTACTTGTTTACTTCTGAATCAAAGCAACGGATCAACTGTTACACAAGAAATTGGAAAGAGGAGTAGACCTATATGATTTCCATTGCTTCTATATTTACAATGTTCCTATTATGTTTTAAGCAAATTTAGATTCTTGTAATAACTCGGTCTGCCCTTAAATACCTTCAGTTGACTTACTGAATTCCTTAACTGCAAGAAATGCTTTCAGGACCTGTTCTTATGTTTCGCTTGATTTCTGATGCTGATCCATTTCTTTCAACTAATTATGGTTACCTGTTATTTAGCACTTACATTTTTTCTTTCTTCTGTTACAGTGGAGATATGGATGGCAGAGTTCCAGTTATTGGGTCACGGTACTGGGTAGAAGCGCTTGGCCTTCCTGTCAAGTCACAGTGGCAACCATGGTACCTGAACAATCAGGTTCTCTACCATACATCATGCCATACAATTTCCTTAATCCACTATAAAGTGTTTACAAAATGAAAAATGAAAATTCAGCTTATGTGCAATGTTCGTTTGATGTTGAACACAATGCAGGTTGCTGGAAGGTTTGTTGAGTATGAAGGATTGACACTGTTGACTGTCAGAGGAGGCGGCCACGATGTGCCTCAAGACAAGCCTGCAGAGGCGCTTGTCTTAATCAGTTCCTTCCTTTCAGACAGAAAACTGCCAACGGAAAACAACTGATGGCTGCAGAATAATTTATGTTGCGACCGACATAACAGGTCATGCAGAGTATAGGATCATTGGTATATTTGCGTGCTGAAATTGCTGAATCAGAAAGGCTACATGCTTGTAGCTTTAAGAGATCTCGAAGCTACTAAAACTTTGAGAGTCCAGTGTGTTAGTTGTTACTTGTTAGTGAACATCCTGCTGATGTTGATTAACAGCTTCTCAGACCTTCATGCCTTATATAAGATAAAAACATTATTAGGTTTGGTTTATGCTTGTGTAACTTTTAATCAGGACCGTGGAATATGGATCCTTTGTGAGGAGACATTAAAAACACCACATACCCCTTGGGTTTGGGTGGCTTCCGTATATAGGCCCAAACAACTTGTGTTACAAGATATGTGCACAATACATTTACATATCTCTAATACCTGTCGAACCGGAGAGTCACAGATGCAAAGACTGGACCTTCATGCACTGGCAGTACGTTGACAGAGAAATCTCTTTGCACAAGAGCCAGTGGAACTCGTGGTGCTAGAAGATGGCGCAAGGTTCCTTGTTGTCCTAGAAAAGGTTCATCTTGATATAGTTCCATGGTGAAATTGAGGATGTCGTCGGCAACACTACCGTATAGCTAGCCGCGCACACACATGTTTTGTATGTAGCTAGATGATCTCGGTTGGACAAGCCGATGTACTGCCGATGTGGTCGGGAATCACGAACTTCATGCACATGGAGCGGACGAATTGCGCGCACAAGTTGGCCATCTTCAGTGATCAGGATGTGGGTCTTGACGATGACAGTAGAGAGCGTGTGCATGTGGCGAGGGACGCTTGAGAATCGGGTGGGAGGACCTTGGCGAGGGTGGTCGACAAGGAGGAGAGGGTTGGCCCGAACGTAGCGAAGCTGGTATCCGACACTTTGAGATCGCACATATCATTTTATATATATAGGCCAATGAGGAAAATGCCACACAGCATGGGTCAGTAGTTGATTTTGGTGTTTGATGAACAACATGACCATTTGGACTAGTGATGTTTGCTAGCTACTCTCTCTGTTTCAAATTATAAGTCACTTTGACTTTTTTGGTATATTTATTTTGCTATGTATCTAGATATAATAATATGTCTAGATGCGTAGCAAAATGGATGAACTAAAAAAGTCATAGCGACTTATAATTTGAAACTGAGGGAGTAGTATATAAGGAAAATTTTAAATGGATGCAGAGTGGACTTGAACTTAGGCAACATGGATATCGGCGTGATCAACACCTGAAGCAAGACGTTGGAGCAACTATAGAAGATCTATAAGTGATGCTACAAGTCCAAGCCACGAGATAGAAGAAGCTCGGACACGAGGACACGAAGAAACAGAGCCGAATGCATGCTCACTGCATGCACTGGATATGTAAGGTGTCAGCCAGGGAGTGGCACCGGAGAACTAGCGTGCCTGGTTTGGGAGACAGTTGCAATAGCAGCACCGGATATCTCCGGTGCACAGGACTGCGAGGCACTGGAGCTTAAGGTGTCATCCTGAGCGGTGACCAAGGCTGGCAGAATTCACCGGAACTCTCCGGTAATGGGCGCCGGAGTGCCCACCAGACCTTGGTCCAAAGTGTTTGCAGCACGGCATAGCGGCAAAATCAACGCACGGGAATTGTCCGGTACCTCACCAGAAGAAGAACCAGAGAGATCAT